GGGGAAGGTGAATCCCCTCAAAGGACATGCAGTGCTCTTCAAAGGATGTTGTCTCAGCAAACAGCTCCAACAAGGTGAAGCGACTGTCAAAGTCCATGTGCTGCTCAATGCCATCCTGCTGGCTCAGGGACAGCAGGACATAGGCCCAGCTCCCTGCAACAACAACAGAAACCCTTCAGGCCCCATAAAGATAACCCTCACCCCACGAGATAGACTTGCAGGCAAGGAACATCTTTGCTTCTCAGTGTAACATAGAACCATGTTCTGTCCTTTAATCTGGATTGGCAACATTTTGCTCCACCAAATAACACTGCATTTCTTCCACCCCTAAAGCTGCAAGATTCCCCCAAAGCAGCAACCCCAAATAACCGACTCCAGAACAGGGTTCCAGGGAAGAAGAAAGCTAAGTTTTAACCCAAAGCAGCCCCCCATCTGCCCCGCTGGAGAGCCACATGAACTCGGGCACTAGGGCAGGGAAAGCCAGATCTCTCCTGGGACACACCACCACTACCAACCTTCCAGGTGCACCCAAGCCTCATCAGGCACTTCTGAGCCATGGCAGCTCCTCTCAAATGAGAGGACTGGGTGAGGACCAGGCCTCTACCCACCAGGGCTCTGCCAAGTGCCTTGCTTGGCACAGGTCTTCATTGTAAGGGTATGTGGAAAGAGACTGTCTGCTCCTTTAAGTGTATCCGGTCAAGGACCTTTTCACCGCAAAAAGGGATAGTAAGAAGAAAGCCATAAACAAGAACATAAAGAATCACAAATCTGACTGACAAATGCTAATGGGGGCAGTGAAAAGAAACAAATCTGGTCAGTCACACTAATTAGTAAGGACATCTGGAGTGTGAGAATGATTATTTTTCAGTATGATTATCTGACTAAGGACCTTGTCAAATTGGGATGATAAGGAAAGGGAGGGAGACAAACACAGAGAGGCATAAAACCTGACCAATTACCATTAACGAAGACAATCACTGGAAACAAACCCAGTTAGCTGCACTAATTGACAGGCTATGAAGAAACTGCAGTCAAACTGGGACTTTGCAACTGAGAAGGATATAACCCTGAGAGCCCAGGATGCTGGAGTGGGCTCTGTGGAACTGTACCAACAGACGGGACAATGTGCACAGGAAGGGAACTGGCAAGGAACACAGGGCGGGGGGTGGACAGAAAGGGGTATAAAAGGGGCCAGTCAGTGCACTTGTCTGACTGAGCCCTGCACCTGATCGCCACAGTTTGTCCTACTTTCTTACATCTTCTTATTAAATCTTTTCTAACTCTTTATCCCCTACGCGTGTTCTGCAAGGACTAAGTGCCAGCTACTGGTGAGACCTGCGTGTGCGTGAGTGGAATTTGCTGCCAGCAACTGGAGCCTGACTGGGGGTATGGGAGCCCTGCAGCCTGTGGCGTCAGCGACTGGAGCGAGTGAGGGTCCTGGCGTTGGCAGTTGGAGAGGCCATCGCTCTCTGGATCTGGGGAGGGTCCCACAGACTTTGAGCCCAGAGTGCCAGCTATTGGGGAGACTGGCATAGAGTGGACTGGGTGCCAGCTACTGGAGTCAGACCAGGGGCATAGGCACCCCTGGCCTGTGATGCCAGCTACTGGAACGAGTGTGAGGGTCTCAGTGCCAGCAGCTGGAGCAGGTGGGGTCCTCTGCCATCAACCACTGGGGAGAGAACGGTGTGTGTCTCAAAAAACAGCTACTGGGAGGGAGGCAAGTGAGGAGCTCAGCACCAGCAGCTGAAGCAGGACTGCAATGCCTGGTGCTGGGGGGCAAAGGTGAGCATCTGTATCTTCCCCAGTCCTGCTCTGTGTGTAATTCATTAGCAAAACTTCACACTGGACTAGCTGGCAAGTAGGAGGCCCTGGGTCCAGGCCAGGGTATGAGGCGGGTGGTGGTCTGTGCTGGAAGTCCAAAGGGACTTGTGAACGTGGACTGCATGAGGGACAAGTGTCTGAGTGCTACCCGTTTGCTAGCAAGCATTGAGCTCGACCAGCTGGCAAGCAGGGGGACCCCTGAAGCAGGTAGGGGGGCTCGGATCCAGGCAGGGGTGCTAGGCGGACAGAGGGGCCGTGCTGGTACTCAAGTGACCCATGAATGTGTGTGTGCTTGTGAACCTGCAGAGTGCTGCGTGTGCTGGCACAAGTGATCTTCTGCTTCTGCCAGCCAAAGAGGAGGAGGGGACCTGGCTGTCTGTGCTTGTGCTTATGTGAGTCCCGCATGTACGTGCTGTTGAAGGCAGCGCCTTGTCCATGGCCAGCCGTGTCAGTGTCCTGTGTGTCCCCCTGTGTCTCTGGGATGGGTGCTCAGCTTTGCTACTGGTTGAATCTGCAAACAGGAAAGTGGCAGCTGCATCCCACAGCCTGAGGGACCCTGGATCCCTGGGCTGGGCCCCAGTGGCCAGGCAGGAGGTGCTGGGCCTGCTGGAGGAGACAGCCACCCCTAATATCCCTTAACACTTCTAATGGTTAATCAGCATCCCAGCTCAGGAACCTGTCAGGGCAAAGAGCTCTCAAGTCTTACAGCACCCCAGACAACTACGACCAAGCAGCTGCTTGGAAGCTCCAGTCTGATTCTTCCCCTTTTGCCAACAAGCCCCGAGACACACTGCTTCACAGGCATCCCAGGCCTACAGAAGGACTGGCCCCCCTCAGCTGCCCAGCAGCACCTCTTCAGTGGCACTGAGCAGCAGCAGCCCCCACCTGCATCATGCGAAGCCAGGGCCCTCAGCATCTTGCCAGCACTGCGGCGGATTTGCTTCTCCTTGTGGCACAGCATCTTCATCAGCAGGTCGAGGGGTCC